CTGTCCTCCCACGTTGTTTTGCTCTGGTCTTGTTGCCCTCTTGGTGCCTCCTTATCTCTGTAGCCTGGTGCATCTGCCCTCCCAAGGCTGAGCTGTCCAAAGAACATTATTTAGGAGTCTCTCTGTCTTAGAGCTTTCCTATCCCCCCCCAAAACAGCAAGTCAAGTTTGTCTAAGTAGCGTTATCTAGGAGCCTCTTTATCTTAGCGCTTTCCTCTCTTCTCAAAACAGCAAGGATCTACTTTAGTTTAATTAGAATCACTCTAGTAAGTGGAAATTTTACATTTACAGGTATCACTCTAATGTTATAAATCCTTTTTAATTTACAGAAAAAGACACAATTTATTATGCAACTGAAATGTGAAAAAACCCACAGTGCTTAATTTCACTGAAAACAGCAAGGAAACAATAAAATGGTGACTAGAAAATACAAGTTTTTTCAGAGCAGAAAAGGAAAAAACATACAAGCAACCTGACATTCCAAATTTGCCGTGCTTCTCAGTACTCAAACGCTTTGTCTCCCAAGGAATATATGTTTGTGACGAGGTCTTTCCTGCCTTCACACGGGCTATTGCCTGCGCTGCCTGATTCTGTATTTCTCCGGATGACAGCTAGGCAGTGTCACAGTGTCACCCCCCCGCTGCAGAGACCAAAGTCCCTAGGGATGTGAAGTCCCTAGGGATGTGCAGGCATTTGATTCCCCAAAGACCTCAGGACTGCAGCTACACGGTAACATACAAAATCCTCCTCGCTTTGAGCGGGAGAAAGGCTAAAGGACACCAGCTAGTTTGTCTGTGCTATGTTAACCCGCAGAAACTGACCCGCTCTACTGACTGTTTTGCACAGCCTGGATTGAACACGCACAAGAAACACAATTTTTGCTGTGCTAATGAGATTGAAGTGACTGGCGGAAAAGATGAGACTCCACAATCCTCCGATTGTGAAGTAGGTATGTTTTATTCAGCGCTGGGCATATGGGGGTTAGCACCACCAAAGACGTGTGCACCGATATCGCCAAGCCATCTATAACTTATACAGTTCCATTTTGCATATTCATATACACCTGTACATATGCATAACCTTTCCTGCTTCGTATTAAAATTATTTCCAAGAAGTCATTTCCATAAACTCCTCTCGACTGCGCTTGCATGGTGCCTCCTTGTGGTGGTCGTCGAGGGTCGTGGGGATGAAGATAGGTGACTCCTCTTCGTCACCGCTAGTAACCTTTCAACTTCGCGCAGGCTCAGTTACTTCTTGGCCTTTACCCAAACTACAGAACTGGCTATGGCTGGCTTTATGTGTAGACTTCTTGTTCTGTAACTCTTCTTTCCAGCCTTATCACTCAAACAGACACAAAATTCGCGGAGCTAAGGAATTTGCCAAGCTAAGGAATTTGTTGAGCTGAGCTAGACTAGCATTACCTAAGTCTTCATCAGCATTGTCTAAGCTTATTTATTTCTTTATTTCCCTGCATCAGAAGCCTAAAAAAAAGAACTATTATGTGTTTTGTATATACTTCCACAACCTACTTGTTTGGTTTGTTTTTGATGCCGTGAAAAGCCGGAATTGAAGACTCAATAGTCGGCAGACTATTAAGCAGGTATTCTTTATTGCGGCGCCGGGCACACGGGGGATCTCTCCTCCAAACGTGTGCACCGAAGAGACACAGTTACTAGGTATTTATGCTATGTTAACATACATATTCATTACATTTCCAAGAAATGTTTATCATAGTAATGGCTTTTCCGAGAATTCATTAATATATGGTAATGTCCATCGCACATGTTTGTTTGGCGTCTCTCGGCAGGGGTCTTCAGATTATCCTGCAGCCTCCTTATCTCTGTAGTTTGCATACCTGTTCTCCCAAGGCCCAGGCGCCTAAAGG